TTGGTTTTTGATTGGACGCCAACTACATTGCATGCCGGTCATACACACAACAAGCAACTTAGAAATTCATTCGTGCTTCAGCCTGCGTTCAGCTAAAAATCAAAGTGCAGTTCGTCCATGTTAGTGTTAAAATTTCATTCGGGTTGTGTGAAAGGGAATGGCATCATATATTGGCTCCAAAAGCTGCAATCAATGGAATGGCGGCCGTCTTGCTGCTCCTGGCTGCCGACATTAAGGTGCACGCGCGCAACATCCCCATGCTTCATTTCAACCATGATTGTGGAGCTGCTCTGGCATACAACCAACCGCTGTTTGGAAAAGTTCAGGGGAAACGGTCTTGTTGTGGGAAAAATTCAAGTTTTGCGGGCCATGGTCAGGCTCCTTCAGATTCTGATGGGAAAGCCTTCAGAGTGGAGCCCAAAGGTGGGAAATTATGTCATCAATTAAAAATATTGGTATAGGGAAAACGTGTGAAAAACCCAGGAAGGCATGGAAGGCAATTATACTTACTGTCCACAGGCTAGTGGCGCCCAAGTGGGAAAGCCAATGGAAGGGTTGAACGTTAGACAAGGTTGTACCCAAAAATGGGAAAGCCATATCATTGGAAGGCATTGACATTTATTGTCCAGGATTGAGCTTTATGTGAAAGGTTGTATCCAAATTATTTTTGCTCTTCCCTATCAGATTTATAGGGTTCTTACTCGTTTATATATAAAACCATTTTCAGTGAAACGATACCTTGGTAGTGACCCTTTGAGTGTCTCCCTTCTTGTTGGCCATTGTATGCGTTTCCCATCCTGTTGGTCACTGTATCCGGTTTGTCTCCCTTTTTGGTGATCACTGCGTCCGTCCGGCCAATTTTTTGGTGGTCATTGCCTCCATCATATCTCCTTTCTATTTCTTTTTGTCTTCCTTCTTGTCTCCCTTTTTCCTTTCGTCTGTTGCTGTGTCTGTTTTGTTTCCCTTGTGTTCCTTTTTTGTCCCTTTATCCGATCTTGTTTCTTTTCTGTTGGTCATTGTGTCCGCCTTGTTTCCCTTCTGTGTTTCTTGTTGTCTCCCTTCTTGTCTCGGTCCTTGTTTGTTATTGTGTCCGTTTTGTCTCCCTCCTTGTTGATTTCTCAAAAGTGGATTTGGGAATGTTTCGTTGTTGTCTGATCTATTTGGGGTCGTGGGGCAATTTGTAATTTTTTAAATTTAGATAGCTCCATAGAGTGCTCCGCGTATTAAAATTGTACTAGAAAAACGCCAATTCTCAGCTTCCAGCTCCTGCAGCCGACCACAAAACCACGCAACCACCAGACCCTCTAACGGAGCGGGATTCATTGCAATTTACAATAGGACAGCGCCGCAGCTGACCACCAGACCCTCTAACGGAGCGAGACCTATCGTACTCTCGGTGTGTGTGATCTCTATGTGTTGGTGATCTCTGTCTGTGTGGTCTCGGTGTGTGATCTCTGTGTGTGTGGTCTCTGTGTGTTGTCTCGGTGTGTGTTGTCTCGGTCTGTGATCTCTGTGTGTGTGGTCTCGGTGTGTGTTATCTCGGTGTGTAGGGTTTCTGTGGGTGTTGTCTCGGTATGTGATCTCTGTATGTGTGGTCTCGGTGTGTGTTGTCTCGGTGTGTGTAGTCTCTGTGTGTGTTGTCTCTGTGTGTGTTGTCTCGGTCTGTGATCTCTATGTGTGTGGTCTCGGTGTGTGTTGTCTCGGTGTGTGGGATTTCTGTGGGTGTTGTCTCTGTCCGCGTTATCTCGGTGTAGGTAGATCTTTGTGTAGGTGCTCTCTCTGTAAGCGTTATGGATATTATTTCTGTGTGTGTTATCGCGGTAGGTGTTATTTCGCTCGTGTACATCTTTCGGAAAGAAATGCGAGAAAGAAGAACGGGAAGCGCGGGAGAGGCGAAACGAAAAAAACAAAAAAAAATATAGAAAAAAACAATTCCATCATAAAATATAAAGAAAAATCAAATCCAATACGAATAATTTAAATTAACAAAATAAATTAATATATCGATCGATATATATATATATCTATATAAAATAAATCAAACCCTATCTCAATTCAATGCATTTTTTGTTTTAAATAAAAAATATTTAATACTTCAAACATATTATAAATTCTTTTCTTTCCTATAACTTTTTCATTAAACACCTTAATTTAAATACCTATCTATATACATCTTTAAATCCCCAAATCAAATTCGATCAAAACTACTTTAAAAACTTAAGGCCAAGGGGGGGGGCGAAAGCTAGCGCTCCAGAATAGGAAAGTGGAGGGCAGCGAGGTAGGAAAAAACACGGCGCTCTTTTTGGAGGCAGGGGTAAAGAGTCCTTTATATATGGCTCTTTGCCCGGATCCTCCTGCGAGAGAAGAGAAAGAAGAGAGACGGAAAGACGAGAGACAGAGAGGAGAGAAAGAGAGAGAGAAAGAAAGAGGAGAAAGAGATGAAAGAGATAAGAAAGAGATAAGAGAGATAAGAGAGATGAAAGAAATAGTGAGACAATAAAACAGTGAGAGAGTGAGAGTGAGCGAGTGCGGCCGCAAAATACGTAACGCTAACCGTATGCCAAAGAGCGACGACAGGACGGAGTCGAACTTGCGAAGAGAGAGGAGGGAGGAGAGAAGGAGGGAAAATGGGAGGAAGACAAGGAG